ATCACTTCCATGATGGGATCTGATATAATGTGATCACCTCTATGATGGGATCTGCTGTGAGCAGCCAATCAGTTGAGAGGGTGTTTCCTTGGTGGTGTGGCCTGCATCCAATATAGGTGGACTTTCTGGCAAGACTCTCTGGCTTTTGCGCACTCTGGATCCTACAGCTGGCTCCTGACCTCCAGTTCTTGGGACTTGAGCTAGCATCTTACCTGCCATCTTGCCTGCCTATCTTGGGATTCTTTGGTCTGCAGAGCCTGTGAGCCAGAGGCCTGCTGTCTGACCTGCTGATCTTGGATTCACCAGCCCCTGTGGTTACGTGAGTCAGGAGAAGACTCCAGCCTGACCCACGGACTTGGGACTTTCCAGCTTCTACAACTGCATGAGCCATTTCCTTGGGGTAAATCTCTCTCTATATATATTTATATGCTTTACTGGTTTTACTTCTCTAAAGAACCCAGCCTAAGACAACTTTCCATCACATCCCTCTGGCTAACCGCAAACTCTGCCATTCCCCTCTTTGTCCCTGGGCCTGAGTAACAGGGTAGGTGTCTGCCAGCATGAATCGTGACCACCACCCTCACAATGGCCTCAACAATGCCTGGTGGGTAGAGATCTCCCTGCCCTGCCACAGCCATATCAAGCTTTTACCTTTCCCAAACCTCCAATGAGTTGGAATCGACTTGATGGCAACGGGTTTGGTTTTTTTTTTTTTTTGGTTTTAAACCTCCAACACCTCAACTCTCATACTCACTCTCAGTAGACAACTCAATTCCTACTTCACAGAGAAATATGAATCCACCAGATGAGAACTCCTCAGCTTCCCACTGTCAAACCACTGTGCCTACCTCCCCCCCTCTCTCCTCACCTCCTCTCTTTCTATAGCTGGGGAGGCATTCCCACTTTCCTCTAATGTCAGTTTTCCTCATGAGCTTCTGATCATATCCCCTCCCTCTGAGGAAAGGGACACCATCAATTACTCCTTCCCTTTCTTGTTTCTTTCATTACCCTATCTCCACTGAGATTCAAACGCAGGCCACTCCCTTCTTAAACAGAAGCAAGTAAACACACACACACACACACACACACAAAGACACACGCACACACTCTTACTTGGCCCATATCCCTTCTTTAGTGCTTTCTTCCTTTTCATTGCCAGTCTTTGAAATAATTTTTTGTATTGGTGGTTTCTCTCTCTCTCTCTTTTTTAACCTCCCTCTCACTCTTCAATCCACTCCAATCTGGATTGTGGCCCCTTTACTCCACAAAAACTGCTCTTGCTAAGGTCATTCTTGACTTTCCTGTCACTAACCCAATGGACAGTTTTCAGTCTTTATCTTATTTGAAACCTGTCAGCATTAATGGCTCCTCCTCTTGAAACTCTGTTCTTACCTTGATTCCATGACACCATGCTCTCTTTATTTTCCTCTCACCCCATAACTGCTCCTTCTCAGTCTTCTTTGTCTAGTCATTAAACATTGGGGGTTCCCTGAGGCTTGATACAAAATCTTACCTTTGCATATGAATTTTAGGACCAGTTTGTTAATTTTTGCAAAACAGGCAGCTGGGATTTTGATAAGAATTGCGTTGAATCCTTAGATCAATTTGGGCAGTATTGCCATCTTAACAATATTGTCTTCTGATCCATGAACATGGGATGCTTTTTTACTTAGGTCTTCTTTACTTTCTTTTAACCATGTTCTGTAGTTTCAGTGTACAAGTCTTGCTCTTCTTTTGTTAAATTTATTCCTAAGATTTTTATTTGTTTTGATGCTATTATAAATGGATTTTTTCTAAATTTTATTTTTGGATTGCTCATTGCTGATGTATAGAAATACAATTGATTTTTTTTATCTTGATCTTATATCCTTAAATCTGACTAAACTCACCTATTCTAGCAGTTTTTTTGTAGATTATATTGGAATCCCATTTGGTCGTGATGCATAATTTTTTTTTTTTTATATTGCTGGATTCAGTTTGCTAGTATTTTTTGAGGATTTTTGCATCTATATTCATAAGAGATATTGGTCTATAGTTTTCATTTCTTGTGATGTTTTTGTCTGCTTTTGGTATCAAGATAATACTGGTCTCATAAAATAAATTGGGAAGTGTTCCCTCCTCTTCTTTTATTTCCTTTGAAGAATTTGTGAAGAATTGGTATTTTTAATTCTTTAAATATTTGGTAGAATTCATCAGTGAAGCCATATGAGTCCTAGCTTTTATTTGTGGTAGTTTTAAAATTACTAATTTGATATCCTTTTTTTTTTTGTTATAGTTCTACTCAGAGTTCCGTTTTTTCTTTTTTATTTATTCCTATTTTTTCTTGAGTCAGTTTTGGTAGTTTGTATATTTCTAGGAATTCATCCATTTCATCTAAGTTATGTAATTTGTTAGCAGACAGTTGTTGATAGTATTCTCTTATAATCATTTTCATTTCTGTAAGGTTAGTAGTAATGTTCCCTCTTTCATTCCTGATTTTAGTAATTTGAGTTTTCTCTCTCTCTCTTCTTTTTTCTTGGTCAGATTTGCTAAAGTTTTGTTAGTTTTGTTGATGTTTTTGAAGAACCAGCTTTTGGCTTTGTTGACTGTATTTACTGTTTTTCTATTCTCTATTTAGTTTATTTCCACTCTACTTTTCCTTATTTCCTTCTGTCTCCTTGCTTTGGGTTTAGTTTGCTCTTATTTTGCTAGTTTCTTAAAGTAAAAGGTGAGGTTATTGATTTGAGGCCTTTTTTTTTAACATAGGTGTTTACAGCTATAAATTTCCCTCAAAGTACCACTTTAGCTATATCTCATAAGTTTTGGTATGTTGCTTTCTCATTCATCTTGAAGTATTTTCTAATTTCTTTTGTGATTTCTTCTTTGACCCCTTGTTTACTTAGGGGTGTGCTATTTAATTTCCACATAATTGTGAATTTCTCAAATTTGCTTCATATTTGGGAAATTTCCCAAATTTGCTTCATATTCATATCTGTGATGATAAGGTTATGTGTCAGCTTGGCTAGGCCATGATTCACAGTGGTTTGGAAGATATTATGTAATCATCCTCCATTTTGTGATCTGATGTGAACAGCCTATCAATCGAAAGAGAAGTTGCCTTGGGAGTGTGGCCTGCATCCAATATATAGGAATGTTCTGGCAAAACTCTCTCTCTCTCTCGATCCTGCATCCAACTCATCATCATCTGACCTCTGGTCCTTGGGATGTAAGCCAGCAGCCTGCCATCTGACCTACTGATTTTGGGTTCATCAGCCCCTGAAAACATGTAAGTCAGGAGAAGCCTCCAGCCTGATACCTGATCCACGGATTTGGGACTTGCCAGCCTCTACAACTGCATGAGCCGTTTCCTTGAAATAAATCTCTCTCTTTTCCTCTCTTTCTATCTTTCTGTAAGTATACGCTTCACTGGTTTTGCTCCTCTACAGAACCCAGCCTAAGACAATATCTGATTTCATTCCATTATGGTCAGAGAGCATATTTTATATGATTTCAATCCTGTTAAATTTATTAAGACTTGTTTTATGAGGCAATCTTTTCTTTTCACAGAGTTTTATTTTTTATCTGCTGGAAATTGCCACTTGGATACTTTAAAGGAAACTCAAATCAACATGCCCAAGATCATTCTTATGATAATTCCCATTCCCCTGACCACTCCTCCAGTATTCCCCATCTCAGTGAAGACACCATTATTCTATGAGTTGCTCTGGCCAGAAGTTCAAGATCATCATTGTTATCTTCCTTTCCTTTGCTTCTAAATCCAATCTATCACTAATTCTGGTTGATTTTACTTTCTAAAGATCTCTTGAATCCATCTACTTCTCTTCATCTCCGCTACCAACTATCCAAGCTAACACCATCTTGTATAGGAACCACTATAATTTTCCTTACCCAAGCTATCACCATCTGTTATGGATTGATTTGTGTCCCCCTAAAATATGTGTTGTAAATCCTAACCCTTATACTTGTGGATGTAATCCCATTTGGGAATAGGATTTGTTATGTTAATGGGCCATAACAGTAGGATGTGTTTTAAACCAATAACCTCCAAGATCTAAAAAGAGCAGATTAGGCACAGAGAAGCAAACACAAATGGAGGGAAAGATACAAACCGCATGAAAGTCACCAAGGAACTGAGGGTAGAAGCTGAAAAGAGATAAGGACCTTCCCCCAGAGTGGACACAGACAGAAAGCTTTCCCCTAGAGCCAGCACCCTGAATTCAAACTTCTAGCCTCCTAAACTGTGAGAAAATAAATTTGTGTTTATTTAAGCCATCCATTTGTGGTATTTCTGTTATAGCAGCACTGAGAAACTAAGACACCATCTTTACAAGAACTACTGCATTTTTCCTCCTAACTGGTTTCACAACTTATACTTTTGTCCCCCTCCAATCCACTTCCCAAACTGCAGCCAGTTTCTGTTTTGAAAATGTAAATCTGATTTTATCAACTTTCAGCTTAAAACCCCATTGCATTAGGAAAAAAACCCAAATCCCCATATGGCCCATGATGCCCTGCATGGTCTGGCTCCTGCTGACGTCTGTAGCTTGATCTTGTCTCTTTGCTCTCTACCCTCCAGCCACACCGACCTGCTTTCAATTAATTGACTACCTGCCCTCCCTTTTGCCACAGGGCCTTTGTACAGGCTGTTCTTTCTACCTGGATCTTTCTTCCCTCCTGTTTCAGTTAGTTAACTCTTTAATCTTCAGATCTTCAAATCTCATTTCCTCAAGAATGTTTTCCCACTGGAGTCCTTATCTGGGCCTGTAATTGCACACTCATTAATGTGACTCATTGATTAATGTCAGCCTCTTGCAAGCTCTGTGTGAAGAGAATTCTGTCTGTGTTTGTTTACCATAGTGGCCCTGGCACCTGGCATAGCGCGTGGCAGAGAGAGGCTCAATGCACATTTACTGAATACAAAGGTGAACCTCTTGTCCCAGCCTCAGCTTCCACCTTGGGTCTCTGCCCATCCCTGCGTCTGAGCAGAGCTCAGGCCATGCCCACTGCAGGGTCCCTAGGTGGCAGCTGGGGTGTCTCAGGGCCTCACAAAGGCTCTGCACCACTGAGCAGCTCAGAGAGTTCCCGCTTAGGTCCAGCTCCTGCAGGCTCTGGTGACCCTGAGAATGGAGAAGAGATCCTGCCAGCAGGCATCTGTGACCAGGACCCACCTAAACCCGAGAGAAGGAGAGAGGGACAGGAGAGACATGACTTGTGCATGCAGGTAAGCAGTGCACAGCTGTGAGCAACACGGTGGGGCTTTGCCATCCTGTGGGCAGTACCATCCCTGTGACTGACCAGCCTCCCTGACTGCTTCCCCACACCCCACGACCCTGGGCTGGTGCCCCTCATCTGTGTGCCTCTTCAATTAGCCATACCTTCCATAGCTTCTTCCTATTCCATACCATACTATACTGAAATGTTCATTTTGTGGGTCTGTTTCTGCCTCAGTCTGGGAGTTCCTTGAGGGCAGTGGCAGATCTTGTTTTTTGTTTTTGCTTTTTTAAAATTTTATTTATTTTGTTTTTGTTGTTGAGAATATACACAGCAGAACATATGCCAGTTCGAGTTTCTACATGTACCATTTAGTGACACTGATCACATTCTTCAAATTGTGCAACTATCCTCATCCTCTTTTTCTGAGTTGTTCCTCTCACATTAACATAAACTCACTGGCCCCTAAAGGTTTCTATTTAATCTTTCAAGTTGCTGTTGTCAATTTGATCCCATATAGATGCTTCTTAAAAGAGTGTAATGCTCAAGGCAGACCTGTTTTTACTAGTTAAGCTAAACTAATGTTTGGTTTTAAAGAAGACTTCAGAGGATATTTTTGGTTTAAGGTTTAAAGATTATCTCAGGGCAATAGTTTCAGGGGTTCATCCAACCTCCATGCTCCAGAAAGTCTGGATTCCATGAGAATTTTGAATTCTGTTCTGTATTTTCCTCCTTGATCAAGATTCTTCTATGGAATCGTTGATCAAAATGTTCAGTAATGGTAGCCAGGCACCATCCAGTTCTTCTGGTCTCATGGCAAAGGAGACAGTTGCTTATGGAGGCAATTAGCCACACATTCCATATCCTCCTCCTATTCCTGACTCTCTTTCTTCCTCTGTTGCTCCAGGTGAATAGAGACCAATTGTTGTACCTGCAAGCTTTTAAGACTCCAGGCACTATGCAATGAACTAGGAGGAAGAACAGAAGCACTAAATACTTATTAGGCCAATGAATTGAGATGGCCAATGAAACCATGACCCTAAACCTCCAAACCAAGAAGCCAAATCCCATGAGGTATTTGGTTGGACATAAGCAGCGTCAGCAGCTACTCTCTCTCTCTCTTTTTTGCTGTTGTAGTAAATGTATCTATCACACAATTTCTGTCAATTCAGCTTTTTACAGGTGTACAACTTATTGACAGAGATCTTGTTCTTTTTTTAATTAGTTTTTTATCTTTTTAATCTGCAGCATAGGGCCTGGCTCGGCGGAGAAGCTTGGTGATTTGGACAGCCTCCCTCTCTCTGATGCAGACACACTTGTCTTCCTTTAGCATAGACCTTCTAGAGTCCCAGCATTCAGAAAGGAAAGGAGGAGGTAGGGACAGGGCCTGGGAGAGGTGTCTGAGGATGACTTTGTGATGGGAATGTTGCATGGGATCATCCTGGTGGGCTTGTAGGACACTAACCCCTTCCAAAGATAGAAACAGAACAGAGAGGGTCAGCAGGAGAGAGATGGCAAAGGGGAGTGTCCTAGCAGGGGATATTTGCAGAATGAAGGGGGGGAGGATGATGGACTTCCTCTGAGAGTGTTAGAGTGGACTCTGCCTCATATAATTTCCACCCATTTAATTTCTCAGTTTTCACACACTACCGTGATCTCGTTGACTTGCAGGGGTTCAACTACCCAAACGCTATTCCAAATTACAGAATGGTGTCTCTATGTTCTTGCCAGATACTTCCACCTTGATGTCTCAGTAGCATCTCAAACCTGATTACATTCTAATATGTCCCCGACTCAATTCATCTTTCCCCCAAGCCTGCAGAACTGTGTGGAGTTAGGAGCAGAGGCTCTGGAGCCAGCTTCCTGTGCTCAAATTCCACTTCTCTGAGCCTCACTTGGAGTCCCTGGGTTGTGCAAACAGTTCATGTGTTCCACTGATAACCAACAAGTTGTCAGCTTGAGTCTGCTTAGAGGAGCATCGGAAGAAAGGCCTGACAATCTACTTTTGAAAACTCTGCCATTGAAAACCCTGTGGAGCACAGTTCTACCCTGACACACATAGGTCACCATGAGCCAGAATTGACTCAACAGCAAGTGGTTGGTTGGTAAAAAGAGGACAATAATAAGACCTACTGCAGAGGGTTTTGTGAGGGTTAAAAGATATTACAGAGTGTTCTAAAAGTCTTAGTACAGTTTTAAGCTTTTATAACTTCAGAAGTATAAATGTTATAAACTTACCAAAAAAAAATTACTTGAAAGTTTAATCATTTATCTTTCTTTGACACTTGTGTAATTTGCCATCTGTCTTAGGCTGGGTTTTCTACAGAAGCAAAACCAGTGAAGTAGATGTAGATGTAGAAAGATAGACAGATAGATAGAGATTTATCTCAAGGAAATGGCTCAAGCAGTTGTAGAGGCTGGCAAGTCCCAAGTCTGTGGGTCAGGCTCATGGGCTGCGGAAGCTGATGAATCCTAAGATTGGCAGGTAAGACAGCAGGTCACTGGCTCAAGTCCCAAGAACCAGAGGTCCAATGACGGCAAACCAGATGCAGGATCCAGAACAAAAGCCCAAGAACTTTACCAGAATGTCCACATATATTTGATGCAACCTACACCCCAGAGGAAACTCCCTTTACAACTAATTGGCTGATCACATCAGATCACATCATGAAAGTGATTACATCAGATCACAAAATGGAGGATGACTACATCATTACGTAATTGCCAAATTACATTATTACATAACTGCCAGACAACATCATAACTATCAAATCACTGAGAATCATGGCTCAGCAAAGTTGACACACAACCTTAACCATCACACCATCTTACTCTTTAATCAGAGGGGCTAAAACAGAAAATCAAAAATTTATCATTCAAAATTCACAAAGCTAAATTACAAGCTGGAGACTTGGAAGCCACCCATCCTACCATCTTCCTTTCCTTCACATTTCAGCTTCCCACTGCCTTAGGCCAAACCTTATCATTTTTTCCGGGACTTTTTTTAAATTTGTTTGTTTGAAGTAGCCTCCCTACTTAGTCTCTCTGCCTTGCCAAGTGGACTCGGTGCCTTTAAAATCTCCTTCCCACTTGCACTGAAGCCTCTGACTTTGCCATGAGACTCTCTCCAGGCTCCATTTGCCACTGTCCATTCCAAACTCTCTTGTTCTGGCTTGGTGTCCTGTTCCTTCTCATCTGGCCTCTGCCTCTGTGCCACTCAGGACGTGGGCACTTCTGAAGGCCCCATGCCAGGCCACCGCTAGTTGCAACTCTTGTACCCAGGTCCTTCAAGGCCTAGTTCAAATTTATAACCACAAACAACTAGAAACAACTTAAGTACTCTATAACAGGGGTGTGGTCAAATCAGCAGTGATAACATTTCCTATGGAATATCATGCGGGTGTTCAAAACAATGTTGCATCAGACTATTTAATAACACGAGAAGATAGCCTTGATACAGCAAAACCAGTGAGAACTAAAACCTATATAAGGGGGAGACCTGTCAGAGGAGGAAAACTCAAATATTTTCCACTAATATAAAGTGGCAGAAAAGGGGTAAGACTTGTACCCTGTCAAAGGCAGAAAATTGCGAGACCTGGAAAAACAAGGCAGTCCCGTCGAGTTTCAGCTCTCACAGGTTTCACTGTATATTAAGAAAATAAAACTGACTGTAAAATGTTTTGTTATGTATATTTTCATCACAATTAAAAAAAAAAGAAAACAAAACTGTTTGTAAAATACTATATAAGTGTGGTTCAATTTTGCCATAGAAATGTGCATAGAAAAAAAATTAGAAGGCTATACCCTAATTCTTAACGATAGTCATCTCTGAGTGATAGGATTCTAGTTGATATTAATTTTCATCATTTTGTTTATCTACATATTCTTATTTTTCTTCAGTGAACATTGGCTGCTTTTTATTGTGATTTTTTTTTTAATCTGAAAATAAAAGATTCAACTCAAATGTTTCTCCCTCTGTGAATCTTGCCTTTTTTGGCCCAATTGTGCCACCACTCCCTTTCTCAGGCCACCAAAGTACCTAGTTCTTACCTCTATTATTCTAGGCATCATATTCTATTGTAATTATTTGAGCTCTTTGAGAGCAGAGAGATTATTAATGTATTTTATTAATCTCTTAGCTTCAGGACCTGCCGTAAAATCAGTGCTTAATAAATACTTAAGGAGTGAATCATCTAAAGGGGAAGATGTTGTTGGCTGCTGTCAAGTCGGCCCCCGACTCATGGCGACCACAGACACAATGAATGAAACGCTGCCCCGTCCTTCGCCATCCCCATGAATGGTTGAGTACAGGACCATTGAGATCCATATGGTTTTCTCTGGCTGATTTTCAGAAGTAGATCACTAGGCCTTTCTTTCTAGTCTGGCTTAACCTGGAAGCTCTGTTGAAAACTTCAACATCGTAGCAACACAAAAGCTTTCACTGACAGATGGGTGGTGGCTGTGCTTGAGGTGCATTGGCTGGGAATTGAACCAGGGTCTCCCAAATGGATGGTGAGAATTCTACCACCAGTGCTTCCCAGCAAAGTGGGAGCTAGACATATCAAAATGCTATATGATCAATATTGCAACAGAGGTGGAGGAATTTAGATTGGGAAGTTAATAGTTTTGCTGGGGTTGGAGGATGGTTAGAGAAACCTCCTCTTTTATGCTCTGGTTATGGTTTCAGGCCAAATGCCTGGGTCAGTGGTGGCATCACTGACGCAAACAAGGAAGCCCGTTTTGCAGGAAAAGTAGAGACTCTTCCAGACACATGCATTCTAAAGTGATGGGGGAAGATCCCAGGACCAATGTCATTCCCAGTAGTCATTCCCATCAAGGGGATGCCTGGAAGAGCTGAGAGGACAATTTCTTGGACAGAAATCAAGTCAAGGCCAAAGGGGTGATCTCTCCAACTCCCTATTACCACAAACCACTGTAATCCACACCCTTATGACTGCCACCTTATGGACTTTTAGTGAATGTTTAATATGGCTAAATCCTGCGAGATTATTCCAAAATGGCTCAACCGTCAGGGACAATGTCTTTATATATTATTATATCTTTACAGACTTTGAGGTTTGTTCTTCTGTAGATTGCTTGTTTATCGGCAATTATCTGTGAAGGTTTTAAAATGTGCCCAAGAAGTCTTTGATACTCCTCCCCTTCATGAACTGGAGCTTAATTCCCTATCTCTGAGTGTGGGATGTACTTACTAAGTTAAGAAAGTTCTCCTCTACTCCTAGTTTGCAAAGAGCTTTAAATCATCAGTAGGTTCTGTACTTGATCAGACGGTTTTCCTACATCAGGTGGGATAATCCTATGATTTTTCTCCTTTAGGCTATTAATGTGATGAAATCGACAGATAAAGGAAAAAGAAAGAATGTCAAGAGAAAGGAGCAGAGGCAGGTGGCTGCCTGACCCCCTTGGGGAGTGCGGAGGGGAACTAGGGGCAGTGTGAAGGTGAAAGTCCATCCAGGCCATCACAAGGGTAGGAGAGGCGGCAGGACAAGGCAGGGCCACAGCAGAGCACCATCCATGCAGTCAGACGCTACAGAGGGATTTCGGCAGAGAATGGAGGTCTGACTTGGCAGTTAGAAATCACTGGTGACCTTGAGCCTTGAGCTCCTGGTACGAGGCTTAAAGAGCATGTCTCTGGTGCTCAGGAGATTCCAGCTTGTGGAACCTACAGAGAGGGGCTGGAGGGAGGGGAGCAACAGGAGTACACACAGAACCACACTGTGGGGGGGTGGTGGTGGCTCAACGCCTGTCCATGCTGACTACTCTCATTCACCTGCAGGTGCTTCACAATGCGGCAGAATTTAAGGTAGAAAGCGTACACCAGGAGCTCTGTGTCCATGCAAACACACATCCTTGGAAGTGGGCTACGGCTCATGTCAGAAATGTCTCATGTGAATCTCGTACAAGCAGCGGAGCAACTCCAGAGAGGACAGCTGCAGGAGGATCTCTGTGCTGGACTTCTGCTTCCACCCACTGCAGCAGTTCCCACTGGGCCTCCCGAGACAGCTGGCAGCCGAAGATGTTCTCTGTCTCTCTGGCCCCACGCTCACTTAAAAGCCCAAAAGGAAACATGTGGTTGGCTCCCCAAACAGGTCAGGCCTTCCATACACTTCTAGCAACTTTTGCATACCTCTGATGCTATCCAAATTATCACTTCCCTCCACCTCCCCCAGTGCACAGAAAATTGCTTCCAAGAACTCCTGAAAACACAAGTGACGGCAGCTGTAGCTCAGAAAGGTGGGGTGTTTTTGAAGAACACCTGTGTCATGGATTGAATTGTGTCCCCCAAAAATATCTGTCAACTTGGCTGGGTCATGATTCCCAGTATTGTATGATTGTGTACCATTTTGTAAATCTGATGTGATTTCTTTATGCGTTGTAAATTCTATCACTGTGATGAGGTTATACTGATGAGGTTTACAAGATTAGATACTGTCTTAATCCAATCTCTTTTGAGATATAAAAGAGAGAAGTGAGCAGAGACATGGGAAACTCATACCACCAAGAAAGCAGTGCCAGGAGCAGAGCGCGTCCTTTGGACCTGAGGTTCCTGCGCAGAGAAGCTCCCAGACCAAGGAAGACTGACACATCACAAGGAACTTTCTCCAGAGCTGACAGAGAGAGAAAGCCTCCTCCTGGAGCTGATGCCTTGAATTTGGACTTGTAGCCTACTGGACTGTGAGAGAGTAAATCTTCTCTTTGTTAAAGCCATCCATTCTTGGTATTTCTGTTAGAGCAGCACTAGATGACTAAGACAACCTGTCTTTTAGAAAGTGGAGATGACAGCCCCATCTAACCTATGTTTCCTGAGGCCTTCTGAACTAAACAGGGTCTTTCCTCAACAGGTGCCCTTGGCAGCCAGAGAGCACAAGGCCCTCAGCTGGGTCCCCAGGGGCCGAGCTGGGAGAGTGTGGGACAGGTAGTGCAGGCAGAATGGCTGTAGTGGTCTGGGAGGTCAGTGCAAGTTCTTCCCCTGCTCCATCTGCAGCTTCAGGAAGGTCAGATGAGCCAGGACACCCACGGCATGAGACACAGGTCAAGAGGGTGCAGTCTGATTCAACCAAGCTGAAGGCTCTGGCTGCTTGGCTTTTCAACTGGGAAATATTTGTAGAAATAGCCCTTCCTGCTGGCCTTGGTGAACCCTAGCACCTCCACCCAACGTGGCTGTTCCAAAGAAGGAATGAGTTCACCGAGAGCTGTGGTCTGAGCCATGATCAGCAAGGATGCCTCGGGCAGTATGGTTTTCCCCAGGAAACTGCCCAGCAGAGCATGCACTGACTGCTGCTGGCTCCAGTGCAGACACAGCTCAGATGTCCACTCCTCAAAGACCCATTTTGGCTCATCCAAACCACCCAGGATGAAGAGCAGCTGCTCTGGCTGAGATAGGATCTGTTCAATGGGAGCCAGAGGGGCAGCCCAGTCTTGGTAATGAGCTCAGTGAGACTTCCCACTGTGGACTGGGCCAACTCTCTGCAGACAAGGTAGAATACATGCCGGAAGTGGACCATGTACAGCTGGCATTGCTTCCAGGCTCCCTTCACCTGCCTGGCCAGTGTTGACTTCCCCAGTCTTTCAGCCCCCTGTAGTATGACTGTGAGGTTCTTCCTGGGTGCTCAGGCCTGGGCCAGATAAGTCTTGGACTTCAATCAAATTCCCTTGCTCCACCACCACTCCATGATGCCAGCTTTCTCTCACCAGGGGCTCATGGCCTCTCGGGTGAGGTCTGTGTAGAAGCAGCAGCTGTGTGAATTTTCAGTGCAAATCCTAGTTTTTTAGGACTGAGAATTCTGGCCTCATGTGGGACAAGTTCTCTCTTCTCTCTGGTTCTGGTAGCTTTCTCTGTTTCCTAAGTAAGGAAGGGAAAGATGGAACATAAAGATATAGAATAAATTTGTTCATCTGTTCATTCATTCATTCAACACTCTTTTAGGCACCCACTCTATGCCACACACTACTGGCTACAGACACTGGTACATTCTCTCCAGTGTAGTGAAAGGAACACGGCCTTCGGGGAAGAAGATATCTGTTCAAGTCTTGACTCTACCAAGTCATACTCTCTACATGACTTTCTTTCATTCTGCAAATATTTATCAAGTGTTTGCTATGGGCCAGGCACTGCTCTAGGGGCTGGGGATAAAGAGAGAACAAAACAGATACTGCTCTCCGCCTTCATTAAGCCCATGACTTGGGAAATTAGTCCTACTAAACCTCAGTTTTCTCATCTGTAAGTTGGGGATTGTGTTATCTCCTTGTCAGAGGTCATGGAGGATTGGCTGGGCTTCTACAGCCAGGAAATGGGCCATGAAGCTGCTTGGCTGCAAACATCTGTTGTGCTTCAAGAAACAGATAACGGATGGTGTAGTAGATGCTGTTGGCCCTTGATGTATTCCCTCAGCACTCACCGTTCCAGTACATGCTGATGGTGTCCTTCTGCAAGCACTTGTGGTTCTGTGTGTGAGGGCCCTGTCTTGGCGCATGAGTGGGGCAGGCCAGAAATGCTGGGGAGTTAATACCTCAGGAGGAGTCCTTGACCAGTAATGGATAAGAGTCTTTTGCCCCCCAGGACAGACAACACTGAGGTGTGGTCTATGCAGTCTTCCAGAGATTTCCAGCAAGATTGAACCTCAGTTGCTCACAGAGGTTACCTGCTCCATAATGCATCCTTGTTTGGCTTCCTTCCCTTCCCTGCCTCTCTTCTCCACTCTCGGACTGGCATTTCCAGGAAATCACCTCCCAGATAAACTATCTGTAGTCACATTCCATCTCAGGGGCTACTTCTGGGGAAACCCAACCTAAGACAAACCTTATAATCATATAAAGACAGAGATGGGAAAGTGCCGTGTGAACCGTGAAGAGATGAATCCCATTCAGGTTCATATCTTAGTCAGATTCCAAATAATTGTTACAACCCTGTTACAGATTGAATGATGTCCCCTCAAAAGATATATTGAAATCCTAAACTCCAGTATCTGTGAATTTGACCTTGTTTGGAAGACTCACAGTTTATCAGTTAATATGCAGTCATATCAGAGCAGGGTGGTTCTTAATCCAATCTGAGTGCTGCCCATATAAAAGAGAACAGATACAGAGGAACACACAGGTGAAGATGGTCATGTGAAGATGCATGTACAAGCCAAGGAATGCCAAGGAACTCCTGGGGCTACCAGGAGCTGGAAGAGACAAGGAAGGATCTTCTCCCCTAGAGTGGACAGAGAGAGCACGGCCCTGCTGATCCTCTGAAATGGGACTCCTAGCCTCGAGAGCTGTGAGATAATACATCTCCATTCTCATAAGTGACCCAGTTGGTGGTATTTTGTTATGACAGCTCTAGGAAACCAATACAAACCCCTTCCCTTCAAAGTATTTTGAGTGCCTCTGACTTCTCTCCTTAGGTGAATTTTAGACATGATGCAATTGACTGCTCTGGGATCCTGAAGCCCAGTTCGTCCTAGGAAACCAGCTGGACTGCCAGGGTTCAAGGTTTCCTATTCTACCTTGTTGGTGTCCTGAGGAAAATCTGGGGAGAGTGGGGCCTGTGAGGTCACTTTTTATCTCCAGCACTGGGTGAGACTGGGGTGTCAGACGGCCACCCCCACTTCTGAAACCGTATCTATAGATATTCTTTATTCTCTCCTGTGGGAATATTTCTGGCAAGGTGAACATCTCCTGAGAACATCACGGTGGCCACATTGGGTAAACGCCATGACCTGCCCTGCTCAGAGCCCTGTGTCTGTCACAGGCACCAGGAGAGGGCTCAGCTCCTCTCGATGTCACGATGCCTCTAGAACATTCTGGCTTTCATGGATTTGTTACCAAATGTCTATGTCCTCTTGAATCAAGCTATATCTTAACCTCTCCCTGCCAAATACCTCTAACAAGTTACATTTTTAGGATGTGCTATTGACCAGGGGTAGGCAAACTATGGACCCTAGGTCAGATCCAGCCCATCACCTGTTTTTGTCCAACCTATGAGTTAAGAATGGTTTTTACATTTTTAAATGTTGGAAAAATCAAAAGAAAAATGATATTTTATGACATGTGAAAACTATACAAAGTTAATATCTCAGTGTCCATAAATAAAGTTTTATTGGTCATGGAGTGTGTGGTGCAGGCTGTCACCTACAGTCCTAGATGGGCAGGGCTACATTGGGGTGATTGGAGCAGGCACAGGTATCTGGCTGCAGTAGGGGGTTATGTGCTGAGCAAGGTAGGGGGCTGATGGCTGCCCCTGAGTGCCTGTTCACTAGAGTGTGTAGGTGGGAGGGTTTTGCAGCTGGACTTTGGGCATCCAATGCTGTTGGCTGTAAGGACTGGGAGGCACCACTTATTCTGGGACCACTGTCTTGGGTGGCTAGGTAGAGTGAGTGGAGCCACCAGTCCACAGGCCCCTGGTATGGGTAGGTGAGGACCCTGCTTAATGGGTAGGGTGGTGTCGAATGTCTCAGATCTGCCACTCCCCCTTAGCTGTTGCAGTTGAAAATAGGCTTCAGATACATACCCTGTTGTACTGTGCTAATGAGGGCCTATGCTGTTGAAATGGGCCCATACAGGTCTAGGCAGGGGTGAAAGGCATTCAAAGTTCATAGACCCCTTATGCCTGTGTCTAGGCAAAGCGGTTGTGTCTGCTCTGAGTTCCCAGTTTATGGGAGCTGGGAAATTATTTTTTCCTGTTTGTTAATTTGTTCCCTGTCTAATGGGTCCCACTTAGGGCCCAGGGGCCTTGGCAATCACTGAAGCCAGACTGGGACTGGAGCTGAGTGGGGAGGGGGCAGGTAAATGGGAGAGAGGTACTTCCCAGAGGGGGAAGGGTTTTTTTGATCCTGTATGGTAGGTTAGATGCTTGCACTTAACTTCTGCAGATCCAGCACCTTCCCTTGGTTCCACAGGCTTGTGCAGACTCTCCACTGCTCGTTTTCTCCCGGTGTGGAAAATGTGTCCTGAGTACTACTGCTTGCCTCAGCCTGCGCGCAACAGCGGATTCAGCCTGCAGGATGCTGGCCAGGTCAGGTCTGGCAAATCCTTGCTGCTTCTGAACTGTCCCTCTCTCCCTCTGCTGTTCAGTCTGACTCCTCAACCTTGTCTTTGATGTTCGGGGCTCCTAGATAGTCATGTATAATTGATTCACTTGTTTTTTCGGGTCTTTGTTGTAAGCGGGACCGCAGGAAGTATCCAACTACTCCGCCATCTTGGCCCTGCCCGATAAAGTTTTATTGGAACTCAGTCATGCTCATTCATTTGTGTATTGTCTGTGGTTGCTTTAGCTACCAATGGCAGAGTTGATTAGTTGCAATGAGACCTTATGACCCACAAAACCTAAAATATTTACTATTTGCCCGTTACAAAAAAAGTTTGCTGACCTTTGCTCTTGATTTATACAAAGAATGTGTACCGTGTATTTTTTGCACTTACTATAACTCTGTTGTTGGGGATATTATTTCTTTCAAGTTCTCCATTTGAGGAATCCCCTTAGAATTTAGAACCAGGGGAAAATGTGTTCCTCTTGAATTGGTGTGTTCTCTTCTAATGCGTAATGTTGTTGTTGCTGTTAGATGTCATCGAGTCAGTTCCGACTCATAGCGACCCTATGTACGATAGAATGAAACACTGCCCGGTCCTGCCCCATTCTCACAATCGTTGGTATGTTGTAACCACTGTGTGAATCCGTCTCTTTGAGGGTCTTCCTCTTTTTCACTGACCCTCTACTTTACCAAGCATGATGTCCTTCTCCAGGGACTGATCCCTCCTGATAATATGTCCAAAGTATGTGAGACATAGTCTCGCCATTCTTGCTTCCAAGGAACACTCCGGTTGTACTTCTTCCAAGACATTTGTTCATTCTTTTGGCAGTCCATGGTATATTCAATATTCTTTGCCAACACCACAATTCAAAGGCATCAATTTTTCTTTGGTCTTCCTTATTCATTGTCCAGCTTTCACATGCATATGAGATGATTGAAAACACCATGGCTTAGGTCAGGCGCACCTTAGTCTTCAAGGTGACATCTCTGCTTTTCAACACTTTAAGGAGATGTTTTGCAGCATATTTGCCCAATACAGTGCGTCTTTTGATTTCTTGACTGCTGGTTCCATAGGTGTTGATTGTGGATCTGAGAAAAATGAAATCCTTGACAATGTCAATCTTTTCTCCATTTATCATGATGTTGCTTATTGGCCCAGTTGTGAGGATTTTTGTTTTCTTTATGTTGAGGTATAATCCATACTGAAGGCTGTAGTCTTTGATCTTCATCAGTAAGTGCTTCAAGTCCTCTTCACTGTCAGCAAGCAAGGTTGTGGCACCTGCATAACAGGTTGTTGATGAGTCTGCCTGCAATCCTAAAGCAACGTTCTTCTCCATGTAAAAAACCAAACAAGTTGCCATGGGTTCCGACTCATAGCAACTCCATAGGGTTTCCAAGGAGTGGCTGGTGGATTCAAACTGCTGACTTTTTGGTTAGCAGCCAAATGCTTAACCACTGTGCCACCAGGGCTCCTGGTAAAGTAGAGGGTCAGCGAAAAAGAGGAAGACCCTCAACAAGATGAACTGACATAGTGGCTACAACAGTGGGCTTAAGCATAACAGTGATTGTGAAGATGGTGCAGGACCAGGCAATGTTTCATTCCGTTGTGCATAGGGTCGACTCAATGGCACCAAACACAACAACACAACTAAGATTATTGCATTTATATGTATCTATAAGATGCCTCTAGTACTTCCTTCCGTCTTTCCTTCCCTTTTTGCCCTGGTTGCTAGGATACTCAGAACCAAATTGAATGTTTAATTATTAATTAGCCCTCCTAGCTTTTATACTGCCTTCTCATTTTTAAGGTATATATTAAGGTTCTAATAAAGTTATTGCATTTGTATGTTTCTATAAGATGCCTTTAATCGTTCTTCCTTCTCTTCTCTCCCTCCCTCTCCTTCTCCCTCCCTCCCTCTTCCTTTCTTGTTCACCCATTCTTTCTTTCTGTTTTTGAATGGGAAACAGTGTGACTAATCAGTCAATTGAAATACTTTGGGCCTGGACCACATTTTAGTACCATAAGTTCCACGAGTTTACCCCTAGCTGGTTGAAGGAATCTTTTAACTTAACATCACTCAGACTTCCAAAGGGGGCGTCTTCTAGCATTGACAGGCAGTAGAGTTCAGTGGCTAAGACTGTGGACTCAGGTGCCTATGTGCCTGTGGTTTCAGTATGATTGTTCTTGTTGCCCTGATGGCAGAGGGAGCAGGATGTAGGGGTTATAGGTGTGGACTGTGGCGGTGGAAAGAGTGGAGGCTGAATCCCACCTCTGCCACTTACTAGCTGTGCAACTGTGAGCAAGTTTCTTCACCTTTTTGAGCCTCATTTTTCTCATCCCCAAGGTGCGATGACACTATATCTATCTCTTGGTTGTTGTTAGGTGCTGTTGAGTTGGTTCTGACTCATAGCAACCCTATGTACAACAGAACGAAACACTGCCCGGTCCTGAGCCATCTTCACAATCGTTGGTATGGTTAAGCCCATTGTTGTAGCCACTGTGTCAATCCACCTCATTGAGGGTATTCCTTTTTTTCGCTGACCCTCTACTTTTTTTTTTTAAATTGTGCTTTAGATGAAGGTTTACAGAACTAGCTTCTCATTAAACAGTTAGTTCACATATTGTTTTATGACATTGGTTAACAACCCCACGACATGTCAACACTCTCCTTTCTCGACCTTGAGTTCCCTATTACCAGCTTTCCTGTCCCTCCTGCCTTCTAGTCCTTGCCTCAGGGCTGGTGTGCCCCTTTAGTCTTGTTTTGTCCTGTGGGTCTGTCTAATCTTTGGCTGAAGGGTGAACCTCAGGAGTGACTTTATTACTGAGCTAAAAGGGTGTCCAGGGTCCATACTGTCAGGGTTTCTCCAGTCTCTGTCAGGCCAGTAAGTCTGGTCTTTTTTTGTGAGTTAGAATTCTGTTCTGCATTTTCTCCAACTCTGTCTGAGACCCTCTATTGTGATCCTGTCAGAACAGTCAGTGGTGGTAGCTGGGCACCATCTAGTCCGGTGGAGGCCATGGTCATTGTGGTCCGTTAGTCCTTTGGACTAATCTTTCCCTTGTATCTTTAGTTTTCTTCGTTCTCCTTTGCTCCCAACGGGGTGAGATCAGTGGAGTGTCTTAGATGGCTGCTCACAGGCTTTTAAGACCCCAGTTGCTACTCACCAAAGTAGAATGTAGACCATTTTCTTTATAAACTATGTTATGCCAAGTGAGCTAGATATTCCCGGAGACTATGGTCCCCATAGCCCTCAGCCCAGGAATTTGGTCCCTCAGGGAGTCTGGACGTGTCTATGGAGCTTCCATGACCTTGCCTTGTACAAGCTGTGCTGGCTTCCCCAGAATTGTGTACTGTCTTACCCTTCACCAAAGTTACCACTTATCTATTGTCTATTTAGTGTTTTTCCATCCCCACCCCTTCCCTCCCTCGTAACCACCAAAGATTGTTTCTTTTTGTGTGTAAACCTTTTCATGAGTTTTTATAGTAGTTGACCCCAAGAATAATGTCCATCTCTGGGGGCTAGTCCCTACTGATAACGTGTCCAAAGTACATGAGACAAAATCTCCCCATGCTAGCTTCTATCTCATGGAGTGTCTGTGAAATTCAGGTAGAATGTGCAAGTGAAGCACTGCACAGACTTGGCACAGAGTGAGTGCCCAGTGAACCCATATTGCTCTCAGCTACTTGGGCAGTGACGGACTGAAGTGGACCTAGGCCAGAACCATGTCCCAGTAACCAGGTGATGTATCTCCTTTATTGGACAATGTACCTGGATTTTTAGTTGGGGGCCTCCTGGAAGCAGTAACTTAATCCAAAGGAGAGACTCCAATAGTGGGGAGGGGGTTCAGGAGAGAGATTTCAGATGCTTGCCAAGCTCTGCTAGTTCCCTCCCCCAGCCACCTGAGTGATGACGCCCACTCCAGGGGAGTTCCTCTGTGCTCAGTCAGCTAACCCAGCCCCCAGGGGATTCTTTGTCCCTTCATTTGATTCATCCTTCCCTCTCCAGGAGTTCAGCAGGGTTTCAACTGTGCAGTAGTTTCCAGCTCTTTCACCCAGAGGCCACCCAATCCTAGGATTTTCCTGCTCTCTGCGTTCTGTGCTGGGCTAAGGTGGGGGCTCCCAGGCTCCCAGCACTGCTGTGGATCTAGGGGCATTAGGCAGCTCTTGATCTGGAGAGTTGTGGGCTGGGGAGCTTGGGAAGAAGAGGATTGAGGGAGGGTTTTCTGGGGGGAGTGAGAGAACAGAAATTACTGAGTATTTATTGTGTTTCAGGCTCATATATTTTGAATTCACACAACAATCCTGCTAGATGGGTGTTAGTAATCCTATGTTTATAATCATGTAAAAAGAGAGATACAATTTTATTCTCTTAGTAGCTGGTCTGAAACTTCCTTTGGGTGGGGAGTCCAGTGTATATCAGGTAGAAAGATTTTGATAAGCCACTTGGAAGACTGAGCTCCCCATTTCAAGTATCAACAAATAGTTACTAGGTAGCATCTGAGGCGGGTGGGTCCTAGTTACTGACAGGCACTATTATACTAGGCAGCGAAACTCATGGGCATACAAGTTGAGGGCAGAGCGGAATTGCTCTATGTTCTAGAGAAGGAAAGAGCCAGTGAGACTAGGCATGGGGAAACGGCAGGAGAAAGAACGCTGGCGGGGGTATAAGAGGGAACCATTGTGGAGAAAGACATGTAAGCTGTCTAATCCTTTCCTAAAACATCTTCAGTAGAGTCTACATCATGCATTCGGACTTTTGTGCGAATGGAGTTTTAGTGTGGAGCTCAAAGAGGTGCAAATTCTGGACTGCAGATTGGGAAGTGGTATGAGGATAGAAAAATTGGAGTCATAAGAAGGCTCGGATGAGGCAACTGAGTCACAGAGGATTGAAGCTACTTGTTCCAGGTCATGCAGCAAGTGAGTGAAGACAGGGTGAAATCTGAGGATAATTGAGCTTAAGTTTGTAACCACTGCTGCCAGGGCTTGGGGGGAGGAAGGGGTGAGTAGGAGCACAGGAGGAAGAGAGAGAGAAGGGAGCGGGGAGCTGGAGGAGGGGGACTTTCACAAAGCAGCAACAAGGTGGGGGGGAACCACTGCACCAGGAATGGGTTGTTCTAGGTTCTAGCCCTGGCTCTGCCTTAAGTGCTTCATGAGCTTGGACAAGTGACTTTCCACGCGAGTCCTTCTGCAGTGGGAAAAGACGGCCACCTGGTGCTGGCATGAGAAGAGGAAGAGGTGAGGGTGTAGCCACAGTTTGTAGCCTGGTGGCTCAGGATGGCAGATATCGAAATAAGAGGAGTCAGGAAAGGGAACTGGCTTGGGCTGAGGAATAAGCCTAGCCTCTTTTGGGGGTCCATGTGCAGAACAGGGTCATCTTTGAAACTTTCTAGACTACTTTGATCCCAAGGATCCTCAGAACCTACCAGATAATGAGCTGAGCTCTATCTGGGCAAGGACCATGTCACCTATCATTTCCAGTGTGGGTAAGACTCACTGCTTGGCCCACATGGGTCTCAGTTTCTCCATTTGTCAAATGGGAGGGAGTGCAGTCTTAGCATCAGAAGGACCCTGAGAGATCATTTGTAGGCCTACTGCTCCTACCACCCCATCCTGGCTCCTCCTACCCTCCTCTGCAGTTCCTCCAGCCCAGGTTTCCATGCAGGTACATACCCACCTGGGTAGGGACCCACCTGCTGATTTATAGCCCCACTTGGAGCCCTTGGGCCTACTCAGCAAGACTCACCTCTCCAGCTGTGTCCAGATATGTAAGGCACAAACCTCAAAACCTCTCTCTTCTCTTCCCGGAGGGACACCAAGGAACCAGGGCAACCTCAGCACCTTGGTGGAGGTGGGCCAGCTGGGGAACTTCATGTTGGGAGCATTCGGGGAGTTGAGGAATGCAGAAGGGTCTGGAGACAAAGGGAATGGGCGCTTCCCCGAGGGCTGGGGCTCTTCATGTTGGGCAGGTCTCATGGTCCCCAGGAGGGGTCAAGAGAAACCAGTGAACCCACTGCAACCCTCTCACAACCCCCCAGCAGGCTCATCTGGAGAATGATGCCCTCACAGACACCATTGGGCAAAAAGGCCTAGTCTGGGATCCAGGAAATTTGTGTCTTTGCCTTGGTTCTGGTTTCTGGGTGCTGCAAAAGGTTTGTGCTCAACTACTGACCAAGAGGTTGGTGGTTTGAACCCACCCAGAGGCATCATGGAAGAAAGGCCTGGTGATCCACTTTCATAAAGATTACAGCCAAGAAAACACTGTGGAGCTTGGTTCTACTCTGTAACACACGGGGTCGCCATGAGTCAGAGTTGACCCGACGGCAAGGAGTATGGTTTGCTCTGGTTCTGACACCACCTGTCTGTGTAAGTCACTCCCCTCTGAGTCTCAGCCTTCCTATATGGAGCTAAGGGCTTCTGCCTCCCCAGGTTGCTAAGAGGAATAATAAAAATAACAGTAACAGCAGCAACAACAATGACAAGAGCTCTTATTTACTGAGCACTTAAACTATGTACTAGACTCTGTGCTAAATGTTTAACACAGATTATCATTTTAACCCTCACACAGTCTTATGATTCAGGCATTAACTCTTACTCTCCCATTTTACAGATGGCGAAACAGAAGCAGAAAGCAGTGAAGTGACTTGCTCAATGGGGTGAGCTAAAAAGTGGTCCAACCAGGACCGAAACCTGCTCCTGCCCGACCTCCAGTCTGTACCTATAACTACAATGCCAGGCAAGTGCGTTGCCAAGGGGCTGGGTGTGAAACCCATACTATCCCTCCCAGCACCCTTCAGAATGCCAGCCTCTCACAGCAGTCCATGGACAACGGCCAGAAGGTAGAAGGGGACAGGAAAGCTGGTGATAGGGAACCCAAGGTTGAGTAAGGATAGTGTTGATGTGTTGTAAGGTTGTTAACCATTGTCATAGGGCAACATGTGTACTAACTGTTAAATAAGAAACTATTTTGTTCTGTAAGCCTTCACCTAAAGTGAGAATAGCAGCACAACTGGAAGAGCGTAGTCAATGTCACTGAACTGTATGTAGAAATTTTTGAAATGGTGTATCTTTGGCTATGTATATTTTCACCAAAAAAAAAGGTGGAGAAGGGAGAAGGTTGACATGTCGTGGGGTTGTTAACCAATGTCATAAAACAATATGTGTACTACTGTTTCAGGAGAAACTATTTGTTCCGTAAACCTTCACCTGAAGTACAATAAAAAAAAAAAAAAAGAATGCCAGCCTCTTCCCTCTCTGGCCTCTGAGCGCTCCCTCTCAGGTGCTGTGAGGATAGGAGAGGGTGTAGGGGTCTGGGGTTCAGCAAAAGACTCCCAGCAAGACTCCCAGCTCCAGCCTAGTCTGCGGTCCCTGCCCCTGCCCAGGGGAGTCCCTTGTCACTGCCCAGAGAAAGTCCTGTGGGAAGGACTCAGTGGAGGCCCCTCTGAGGGGAGGGGTTGGGGACCAGGGACCCACAGTGGGCAGAGGGCCTTTGTCCACTCACCTGACATCAAGGCCGCCTCTGCGCAGGCCCGGGAGCACAGCTTGCTCTGGTTCATCTTCTCCTAGGTGTGGAGAGCCAGGTCCCAGGGCCGCTGCTCCCCACGCTGAGCCACCAGTCATGAGGCCACCTCCATGCCCCCCACCTTCTCTGGTCAAGCAGGGAATACACTGGGAGAGCCTCCACTGAGCACATCCCAGGGCAGCTGAAGCTGGAACTCCTTCAGTTCCTCCTTCCTCAGTTCCTCCGAGTAGCCAGCCAGCCACCACCGGACTCTGCAGGCCATCTCTGTCATAGGAGGGCCGTGGGGACGTTTGGGGGCTGGGGTGGCAGTTGTCAGTCAGGCAGAGAACAGTGCTCTCCCTTCACCTGGACCCCTACCATCTCCCGACGCAAGCTCCCACTGGGATCATTCCTCTTTCCCTGTAAACTTCTGTTCAGCATCCAGAAGCCAATTTTGTAGACCCCAGGGCACCTGCTAATGGATGGTGCTGGGAGGAGGAAGGGGAAGAGGAGTGATAGGAAAAGCCATTGGAAGGAGGAGCCGAGAGGGGAGTGGGAGATACTGGAAGCAGTCAAGCTGTGACAAGTGCTGGAGGTGGGGTCCAGGGAGGAGGGAGGGTGGGAGGATGGGTGTGTGTGTGACACTCACTATTCTGTGTTCCTCAGATTCTTCCCTCTTCTGGGACCTGGGCTCCTGGGACCAACCCATCAGCCTTAATTCTGGTAGGGTGGGGTGGGGGACAGGCCAAGCTGGGTGGGCTTTCAGAGCAGGAGCAAACAGTCACTGAGAGGAAACCACATGGGGATGTGGCTGGGAGAGGGAGGGACAGGGGTCAGGACAGGCATGGGCAGAGCAGCAGCTCAGAGCTGGACTCCAGACAGGTCCTGTCCACAGGCGCAGACAGGCTGACAAGGCACCAGATGCAGCCCCTTCATGCACATACAAGTGCACGAACCTTCCCCCAGGCCCTACAGCCCATCGCCCAGAGCCTGCCACAGAGCCAGGGTCAGACTCTCCAAGGCAGGTGGGTGTGAGGCTGAGTTCTATGCTCTCCGAATGGGTGGGCCTCCATGTCTGCCAGGGTGGCTCCTTAGTGGGAAACATCACAGCCAGCCCAGAGAGTATCTTTCTTAGCCCCTTGCAGTTTTCGGGGCTCCCTGAGCCCCACTGTGTGGCCTGCCATGCTAGGAGGGGCCCAGAGGTGCGTGGTCCAAGCTTGGCGGCTGTCTGCTTTGGCTAGTAAACATTCCCACCAGAAAGCAGGACAACCCTGCCTTGTCAGCACAAAGCCAGGCCCTGGGGGAACCTGGCACAGGCTTTCTTCCTCTTTTGTAGAAAAAAGGCAGAGGTTGGGGACTTCAGGTCGAGGAATGACATTACCCAACTTGTTCGCTGTTGTGTAACAGCTGCAGGAGCTTCTAGAAGATGCCCTGACCTAGGCTGGAGGCAGGCTGAAGGAGCTTCGCCTACTGTTTGCTTGGACACTGACTCACTTCATTTCTCTGAGCCTCAGTTTCCTTATCTATTAAATGGGGGCATCATAGGTTTGCCAAGGGGCTCAAATTAAGCAAAAAATTTTAGGGACCTTTAAAAATGTAATAAAAATGTTAGTTTTTTAAATTTTATTTTTATGGCCAATAAGCACACTAAAAAAAAAAAAAAAAAAAAAAAAAAAATCAGTTGCTGTCAAATCGATTCTGACTCAGGGTGACCCTATATGTGCCAGAGTAGAACTGTGCTCCGTAGGGTTTCCGATGGCTGATTTTTTGGAAGTAGATCACCAGGCCTTTCTTCCAAGGGCCCTCTGAGTAGACTCGAACCGCCAACGGCTCGGTTGGTAGCTGAGCGTGTTAACTGTTTGCACCACCCAGGGACTCCATCTAGTTTCCTTACCCGGTTTTATTTTTCCCAACAGCACTTATCACCACCTGACATTAAATACTTGTTTATTTGTTTATTGTGACAACTCATGGCCCCCGATAAAATGTTCGCTCCCTGACGGCAGGGTCTTAGGCTGTTCTGTTCACTGTTGTAGCCCCTACTCCTAAAACATCGTGAACCCACGGCATTAGCGCAATAAATGCTGCATACACTGAATACCTATTGAAGGATTTCCTCCTTCTTCTTCTAAACAACTACTCATCCCGACCGGTAGATGGCGCTCAAGTACTTCTGTGCTTTAGAGAGTAATAGGTTTGGTCAACAGAGGAGATTGGGACTCTTCCTCTGAAGCATGAATTTTTAAAGTTATCCTTGTTTTTGGCGCAGTGAAAGGCTGAGAGTAGTAGAAGTAGCATCGTCATAACCTGTCTAAATTCACGAGGGGAAATGATGAGAATTACCATCAACGCAAAACTCGTTCCCATGAGGGGGAGGTCAGATATACCTGCACTCTCCAATCTTTTTACCAGCCGTCCTCCCCCGGCACTCTCTACTTCTGTGCTGGGTTAGATAATCTGTTGCAATGGTCACACAGAACTCACAGACCATACTTACAGTTGAATGGTTTATTAAGTAAGAAACAGAGTACAACTCAGGGTCAGGATCAGGAAGCCTGTAGACAAAGTCTCCCTTCTTCAATGCAGGACAGCTCTTTCAGCCCCCTGAGAGACAGGTCTGCTCTCGGCCTCCTCAGGGCAGGCTCTCTTGGCCCTGCCGTCTGTCACCACCGATTCTGCTGCAGGGCCCTTTCCAGGCCTCTCGCTGTCTTCAGTGTTACAGCCCTTGACTTGTGTTACAGCTCTTTTAGGAGGTTCCTTGCCTCTTCTCTCTCCGCTTCTTCTCTCTTCTTTCTTCCTTCTGCATTTTCCTGCTGCTTCTATTCCTGCTTCTTTCTATCTCCAAAATCTCTGTGGGGTTGGCTGCTTATATACACAACTTCTTGTCAATTTCAAGGCACGGCCCCTGCCAGTGGAGAGGCCCACAAACTGACAAATCTCCTCTTGAAGAGCCACAGACACTTCATTTGCATAGTAGGCTATAGTCAACTCATTTGCATAGTTTATTGACCAATCCCTGCAAGGTGCATACCAATCACAGGGCAGGCTGCAGCCCAGGACCAGACAAAAAGTTATTTAGAGCTTACCTAGGAAATGTCAGTCAACCTGGACAAAAGGAACATACTCTCTGTGGTAGAAAACTAGGGCAAATGTATCTCCTCAGAGCTTAGGGGAAAAAGCTCTCAAGCTGTTTTTCCAAAGAACCAAGGCAAAAGGCCACATGTAAGAACTCATTTCACCACAGGTGCTTTGGGTCTTTGCCCCCTTCCTGAGCCCTTCAAAAACCCACTTTTATTCAAATAATGATAGTTTCTATTATGAATTAACTTTATAAGAATAAACCATATGTCCCATCTCCCACCAGATTAAAGTGACACTTTATTTTTACATTCAAGTTATTATGACGTGACCTGGATACCTTTTGGAAATTAGCCTCCTAAAAATTTCCCTCCTTCTAGCTGTTTCTGGGATTTTCCCGGGTATTGTAAGGCAATACAGACTTCCTTCTGTTACTACCATGTTGTTGTCTCCGTGGTCTATTGTCCTCCCGAGTTTGCTGGGTCCAGCTGTTCTTTGCTGATCCTCCAATTCCGGTCCTCAAAGGGAGGGGAACTTCAGAGGTGTGGGACAGGCTGTCTCCAAATCTCCACAGTCCAGCCACGGCCAAGAAATGCCTTTGACAAGACTCTCTGGAAGAATCAGGGATAGGAGGAAGTAAGTAGAGCAAAGGGTCACTTACGGTGGCTGCTGCCAACGCTGTCCTGAGAGGCCATTGGTCCAAGACCACCTTAAGCACCCTTTCCAGCTGGCAGTCTCTGACGCTCTGACAGGTCAATATCTGACAGGAGCCGATCATCGTCCAACCCCCAAGATTCCCTAGCCACCTCCACACATTGGAGGGCAGGCCAATCTGGCTTCTGATCTCAGAAAGAGAATGTGCATTCCCCACACCCACCCCACTCCTGAGGCCAGCTACAGGATTAACCTCTTTCCAGGGTGATAAACGTGGAAATGTCTATCCACTTAAGGTTTGTGGTTGGGCACTATGGTCCCAACAAGACAATCCCAACAGCTTGAAAATTTCTTTCCCAAAAGTCTGTGGATTTCAGGCTTATCTAGAATTGTGTACCGAACCAATGTCAAAATCTTTTTAAAAAAAAGTAATCTAGTCCATCCAGTCACCCTCCTCCTCCGTCTCCTCCTCCTTATTTTAATCTTTCCTTAATTGTGAAGAAAATATCCACACTCAGTGGCTCCCCTGCCAAGATTTGTTTTTAATCTCCTGTGAACTTTGACAAGAAGACATGTACACGCATCCTTGTTTTCCAGGAACAAACAATACTCCGTTGTTGTTAGGTGCCGTCGAGTTGATTCTGACTCAAAGCGACCCATGTAAAACAGAACAAAACCCTGCCTGGTCCTGCACCATCCTCCCAATAGTTGCAGCCGCTATGTCAATCCATCTCGTTGAGGGTCTTTCTCGTTATCGCTAATCCTCTACCTTACCAAGCATGATGTCCTTCTCCAGAGACTGCTCCCTCCTGATAACATATCCAAAGTACATGAGACGAAATCTCACTATCCTTGCTTCCAAGGAGCACTCTGGCTATACTTCTTCCAATACAGACTTATTCATTCTTCTGGCAACCCATGGTATATTCAATACTCTTTGCCAATTCAAAGGCGTCAATTCTTTGGTTTTCCTTATTCATTGTCCAGCTTTCTCATGCATATGGGGCGATTGGAAATACCATGGCTGGGGTCAGGCACACCTTGTCCTTAAAGTGACATCTTTGCTTTTCAACACTTTAAAGAGATCTTTTGCAGCAGATCTGCCCAGTGCAATGAGTTGTTTGGTTTCTTGGCTGCTGCTTCCATGGACATTGATTGTGGATCCAAGTAAAATGAAATCCTTGACAACGTCAGTCTTTTCTCTGTTTATCATGATGTTGCTTATCGGTCCAGTTGTGAGGATTTTTGTTTTCTTTATGTTGAGGTGCAAAACAGTCTCAATACAGATTTAGAAAAAAATTAAACACTTCTCTAACATAACCTGCAGGGATAGCTCTTCCAAAGGACAGTTGATGTACATTATTTACAATGGAATACAACCTCTCACTCTTTCTCATCTGATGTTCTTAATTGCATTTAAGTCTCAACCAAGAACAGTGATGGGTTCCCATCTTACACGGCTTTTTTTTTTCTTTCAGGAACTGCATCAGGCCACTGTCACATGTGCTTTTTTGGCTTGTCTTCTAGGAAGCTTTTGGGTAAAATGTTTGT